TCCCTGTGCTTTGCTAAGCTTGTTCTAAGTAGGTGCTTTAGACCACTGAGCCATCTCACCAGCCCGAAATGTCTATTTTAGACTTATCTATCTATAGTACTGGAATTGAATTATGGTGTTTTCATATGCTAAGCAGGTATTTTATCACTGAATTATGCTGCCAGCCTCTCATAATTTATTCATTCTTTGGTTGATGGACATTTAGAATGTTTTTATTTTTTGGGTCCTATGAATAAAATTGCTATGAACATTTTTACAAACTTCTTCTGGTATACATATGCACTATTTCTCTTCTATTTGGACTCAGAAGTACAGCTGCTGGGTAAAAGCAAAGGTTTAACTTATAACATGCATGTAATCCCAGCACTCTGAGAGCCTGAGGCAAGAGGATTGTAAATTTGAGCCCAACATAGGCAATTTGGCAAGACCCTGTGTCAAAGCAAATAATACACTTAATCCTGCTATATCTTTATTTATGAATTAAAACACTCTATCAATTAACATTTGTGATGATTCCTGTAAATAATTTTACCTTCTCCTTCAGTGGTGGGGAGCAGGGGCTGGAGGCAGGACTGTCAGGTGGGGATGAGTCCACCTCCACTGGCTCCTCTTCCTTGATCTTGATGTCTGGGGTGGAAGGCAGAGACATGTCCAGAGGCCCAGAAGCTCCCTGTTAGGAAAGAGAATGAACAGATTTTAACCTCATACTTCCACTTCCCTTCAGATTGAACCTACATCTTTCCAGTTACAGAGTGAGAGCATATGCTTCTAAGATGTTCAGCCCATGGCCAAAGCATGGAATTGCAAGTCATAGAATGTGTGCCCTACACTTTATGTATCACTCTTACCAAATCCTTTATCTTTGCAGGGCTTGTCTCTCTAACTATAAAACTAAGATAACCATGGAGATAAGTAAATACTTATAAAGACTTGAAAACAGACAAAAAAGATACCATACAAATATTTTTATTATAATCTTGTTCAGGAATAAAATAATTCCTGAATCAAGTGCTTATTCCCACCCTGCTGTCCTGGGGGCCACTGAAGAGCTGTGAGTACTTTCTCTGCCCACCAGAATGACTATATTACCCAATTATCAAAAGCAAAGGAAGACAAATTGGCTGTTAAAGTACTGCAAACAAGATAGGAGAGGCCTTTTCTCGGGAACTTGCCATGCTTGATGGTTACCTCACACTTAAATCTGGGGCTGACGGGGTAGATGTTTCAAACAGATAGGGTTTGGGGGTAACACAGAAAAGAAAGGTTGATATCTGATCAGTGAAGAAATTAGAACCTGCTCTTTGGAGCAGGCCTGGAGAAGCCAGTAAGTAAAGAGTATTTTCCTGGCAGTGGCAGATCACCTTACAGAACTCTGGAGCTGTGAATGGCTTTGCAGGGAACAGTAAACCATTTGAGATAACGGCTCTGACACTGCAACACAATAGGAGAGCTGGCACTGCAGTTCTGTTTCATGACAAAGTGGATTCTTTGTTCTGTTCTTCCTATATCCCAGGCTTCCCGGTAAAACAGGAGTTTGTTTTAACCTCTTCCCTTGCTACCTTAACCCCTAGAAGCCTTTGGGGTAGCTGGCTGAGTAAAGATAATCTGAATTGAAGAAGATAGTAATGGTTCTTTTTCTGCAAGCTGATGCAGGATGGCAATGAACACCACAGTTTCATTTCTGCATCATTTTTTTAAATATTGCTAAAATATCAAGTCCAATTTAGCTAATTCTGTAATCTGAAGTCAGAGATTGGCAGGAAGGCAAAGCTTCTATAAATGTAACCAGAGGTTTAAAATCTCCAAAGGGCATCTAGAAAAGCTCTGGTTCAGCAGCAGGTTGTAGGGGCACATGCCTGTAACGCTAGCACTCAGGAGGCTGAGGCAGGAAGATTTCTGTTAAGAGGCCAGCCTGGGGCTACACTGCAGAGAGAATTGGTCTCAAAAAAGAAAAGCTGCAGTTCATGAGTTTCAGGCTTCTTAAAATACTTCTGCAGACAGTATTACACTGTGTGCATTTCATCAAGAGGAGGTAAAGACCACTTGTAGGCAGGCAGGAAGAAACATAAAGGAATTCCCATGGAGACAAGGTCTGGTCACCTATGAAATGACCTACTAGAGATGTCAATCAAGCTAAATAGGCCACAGGAAAGACTTACAACTTTTTTTTTTTTTTTTTTTTTAGGGGGGTACATAGGATTGAACCTATAATTTTGCACTAAGACTTTATTTTTATTTTTTATTTTTGGGACAGGGCATAGCTAAATTCCCCAGACTGGCCTTGAACCTGTACTCCTCCTGCCTCAGCCTCTGAAGTAGCAGGGATTGTAAATATGCATCACAATGCCCAACCCATTTTTCAACAACAGATTACTGAAATAATAACTACATTGGAGAGTAGGAGGATTGATTCTCAGTGAAGACAACTGTGCTAATCCATCATCTGGATCCACTTATTAATATTATCTGGTTCTACAGAACCACTGATGTGATTTTTTTTTTCTTTTCAAAGTTTTATTGATAAACATATAGCAATGAGACAGTTTCAAATCAAATCGAAAGTACAGTTTCAACAAATAATACACTGCATATA